ATTGAGTAACGTAACGGAATACGTTACAGAATACATTTTGGGGCATGTATTCTGTAATCTGTAATGGAATACATTTTAAAAGTAACCTTCCCAACACTGCTTATAGCTGACCCTGATCTTTGACCTCCTAAGATATTGTGTAACTACATATTCACCAAACAGCAGAGGAATAACGAACATAACAAACTCTGACTACAGCGTCTAAACTTGGAAATGTAATAAATAAGTTGCATTTGGTAGATGCTATAGGAATGTTGTGATACATACATTTAAAGTAAAAGTTAGCTGTAGTTGATGGTCTGCGGTGCAGTCTGCGATAACAACATATCTATACTCTGCATAGTTTCTGTATTGGCTGCTGGTTCATATATTACTCACAGAATATGCGATTGGGGGAGCTGTGCAGATATCACACAAGATAAACCCCAGCTGCATACTTTAGTGGGCTTTTCTAGCAGTCAGTGTTGCCATGGGAACAAGGAAATCTATTAGGAAATCTAAACAGGTTACAACCCCATCGAGCCTTCCTGTCTGTCATTTTTACTCACTCCTCATCAGCCAAGGTCAACTTGTACACTGTGTGTTTTTGCGTGTGTGCGTTCTCACAGGGAGCTGCGGTCACTCGTTATAGAGATGGTGTTGTCCACGGACATGTCCTCCCACCTTCTCCAGGTCAAAGCGATGAAATCCTGTCTACAACAACAAGAACGGTACTGCTAATAGACTGTGCTGTTGTTTGCACTGTGCCGCATAATCAGCAGGCCATGTAATGGATGCTTGGAGTGCAGTGAGCTGATTAGAATAGCCTGCACATGATGCAGGCAGTTTAGTTTCAGGCCGGCTGCTGTTTAGTCTGCTTTTCAGTCTGGAGACACAACAAAACAACAGTTAAAACAGTGATTGCCTTATGCTCTCTACACCAGGATTGACAAGCCCAAAGCACTGTCTCTGTTACTGCACACGGCTGACATAAGTCATCCATCCAAGCCTTGGGCGCTGCACTCTCGCTGGACCAAAGCCTTGATGGAGGAGTTTTTCAGACAGGTAGGCACTATATATATATATATTCTGCTTAACAGGCCTGAGATATTTCCTATTTGTTGTTTGTCATCTCACTATGCTCTTCTTTTTATTTCACACAAATTCAAGGGCAGAGCTCCTCTCTGCGCCTGTTTTTGCTGCAGTTTCTTTCCTGTTATCAAGAATTTTTTTCTACTTTCTAAAAGTGCTTGCTCAGTGGGTCTTTACCCTCCACTTTTAAGCACCATATAACTACTATTTTGACTAGTGATGAGCATGGATTCATGTCAACAAGGATAACTAGAGATGTGAAGGAGAGAGTGCATGGAGGGCAGAGTGCGTGGAGATGAGTGTCAGCTGTGATTTGATTGGCTATGACATGTGGCTTAGAGGTGGCAAAGTCACCAAACGTAGTCCTCTCTGTGTTGGGAGTGACGAGGGTGGACACAATTACAAATGAGTCCATCAGTTAGAGTTAGAGAGATGAGCCTGAGATGGTTTAAACATGTGCAGAGGAGGGATCGAGCATGAAGTGGACAAAGCATGTTGAATGTGGACCTTCATGGATATAGTGAGACAGAGGAGGACAGTGTGGCAACACCTAAAGAGAGAAGCTGAAAGAAGATTTGTTTTGGATAAAAGAATAAAGTACTTGTTGCCCACAGTTAGATGAGAAGAGGAACAGTAAATAGTGTGTAGTCAATAAAGAGTTTAAGCCAGCAGCTCCCCAGCTCAGCTTAGTGCAAATACAGAAAACAAGGGGAACAACTAGCTTTAATCTCGCCAACCAACAAGAAAATCCGCCTGCTAACTTCCAAACTCACTAATTAAAACAGGACATCTTGTTACTGGATAAAAACAAAGTGTAGCCACTGTGATGCCACCGTTCTTACATCACCGATTCCACGTTGGAGTCCAGATTCAAATTTGTGAGCTTTCTTGTTCACTGCAGATGAATAATGGTTGTAGATGATTGTAGAGGAAGTCCAAATCCTCCAATTTGATCCCTCAGTGGTGAAAAAATGTTACACTGGAGCCTGAAGCCATACCTCAGAGAGAGCTTAGTACATAGTATGTTAGGCCTGTCTCTTTATCCTACCATAT